CAAATGCTTTGAGATGGAATTGAAAAAGTGTGCAGCCCAGTTTACCTTAGTTTTGGTAATGAGAGCGTTGATGATGAAGGCTCTCTCCTGGGTGATGTCATCGGCATGACCTCCACTCCCACATTCGAGGCAGGCGATGACCAGTTCCAAAATCAACTTGTAATCGTTGTTCAGATCTGCTTTCTTTGCTGGGCCAGAACGAGTTCGCCTAGAAATTCCAATGATGTTCCAGTCCAGATTTTTGACTGGAAATTTCCCAACTTCAACTCCAGAATTGGGAAGGCGAAGCCTTCTTCCCAATTTCTTCTGCGAAAGCTTCACCTTTGAGCCTCCAACAGTGGACTTGATGACTGGAAATGTGCTCTGTGGATTTTTCTTTGACTGAGCAGATTTGATTTCTCCATTTCTGTAGAATTCAAGAACTTCTTCCTCGAATTTGAGGCGAATCTCTATTTGAAGAAATTCGGAGAGTTCTTGAGCGGCTATCATCTGCAGATAGTTTTGGAAGAATGTTGGAGATGAGCACTTGGCTTCTAACTTCTGAAAGTGGACATTTGCACCGACAACCTTCATTTTCTCAGAATTTTGGGTGAAAATTTGAGAAATAAAGGCTTAGGGTTCTTGTAGATTTTTGAGAATTTTTCGCGAAGAAGATGACGAAGAATTTTTGAGTGGGTGGTTGAGATCTGAATAATGGCGATTGGGATTTAATGTGGGCGATTTATGCGGCTAGTGGCGATACTGTTCCCAAGGCCACGTTCCCACCCATCATTTTGACAGACGTGGAAAGTGAACTGCCACGTGCACTATATTCAGTCTAATTGAATTAGACCAATTTTGTGAAGCAAATCGGAAAACTTGGCTTCACTTAGTGGTTTGGTGAAGATATCCGCCAGTTGTTCTTCAGTTGAGATATACTCAATTTTGATATCTTTCTTTTCCACATGATCTCTGATGAAGTGATGCTTGACATCAATGTGCTTAGTGCGAGAATGATGCACTGGGTTTTGAGAGATGGCTATGGCACTTTGATTGTCACAAAAGATTGTCACTTCCTTTGTTTTGACTCCATAGTCCAGTAGTTGTTGCTTTAGCCACAAAACTTGAGCACAACAACTGCCAGCTGCAATGTACTCTGCTTCTGCTGTAGATGTAGAAATGGAGTTTTGTTTCTTACTGAACCAAGAAACAAGATTTCCACCAATGAATTGACAAGTACCAGATGTACTTTTCCGGTCAACTTTGCATCCGGCAAAGTCAGAATCTGAGTATCCCACTAACTCAAATGAATTGCTCTTACCATACCACAAACCCATGTTCTGAGTTCCTTTGAGGTATCTGAGAATCCTTTTAGCTGCTATCAGATGGCTTTCCTTTGGCTTTGACTGGAATCTGGCACAAACACCTACTGCATATGAGATATCCGGACGGCTTGCAGTAAGGTAGAGTAGAGATCCGACAATCCCTCTGTAGAGAGTTTGATCTACATCCTTTCCATCTACATCCATATCAAGTTTGGTGGATGTGCTCATGGGGACAGAAACGGATGACTTCTGATCAACTTTAAACTTCTTGATAAGATCCCTTGTATATTTTGCTTGATTGATGAGAGTGTCTTCACTTCTCTGTTTGATTTGAAGGCCAAGGAAGTAGTTGAGATCCCCCATCATGCTCATCTCAAATTTTCCTTGCATGAGAGTTGAAAACTTGGTGCATAGATCTTCCTTCGTTGAGCCAAATATGATATCGTCCACATAGATCTGAACTAATAGGAGATCTTCTCCATCTTGTAGTTTGAATAATGTCTTGTCAATTACTCCTTTGGTAAATCCATTGTCTATAAGAAATTGAGACAATGTATTATACCAAGCTCTTGGTGCTTGTTTGAGTCCATATAGCGCCTTCTTGAGTCTATACACCTGATCTCCCTTAGTGTGTAACTCAAATCCTGGAGGCTGTTCTACATACACTTCTTCCTCTAGGTTTCCGTTGAGAAATGCGCTTTTGACATCCATTTGATAGACTTTGAAGTCCTTGTGAGTAGCAAAGGCTAGAAACAACCTTATAGCTTCAAGTCTAGCAACTGGAGCGAAGGTTTCATCAAAATCTATACCTTCTTCTTGACAATATCCTTTAGCAACTAACCGGGCCTTGTTTCTGACAACAACGCCGTTTTCATCCATCTTGTTTCGGAAGACCCACTTTGTCCCAATGACATGTTGATGAGTAGGTCTGGGAACAAGTTTCCAGACATCATTTCTGGAAAACTGGTTGAGTTCTTCTTGCATTGCATTGATCCAATCAGAATCAGCTAGCGCTTCTTCAATATTCTTTGGTTCTACTTGTGAGATGAAACAGGCAAGCATAGCTTCTAGATTCTGTTGGGCACTCCTTGTGCGAACACCAGATTGAATATCTCCAATGATCTGTTGAGAAGGATGATCCCTTAACCAACGAAGATTGTGTTGATTGGGATTGACTGGTTGATCTAGTTCAGCTTCTGGTTGAAGAACAGAAGTTGTTGGTGTTTCCGGATGGATTGGCACTGGGTCGCCATTTCCGGAATTGTCGCCGTTTGAGATATCCGGAATATTGGAAGGCTGGCCAAAATTTCCGGAGGGCTCAGCACCGTCTGAATCCGGATTTCTCTGTGAAATCTTCAGAGGCAGACTTCTGAATGGAATGAATTCCGTGGGCTTCATTCTATCTTCTTTATTGACTTCTTCATCCTTGTCTGATAAATCCAGAACCTCATGATCATGTTTTGATGGTTTGTCAATCACATGTTTTTCATCAAAAATGACATGTATTGACTCTTCAGTGATCATGGTTCTTTTGTTGAAGACTCTGAACGCCTTGCTTACCATGGAATATC